CTACATCTTCATCGTTTTGGTTCCCACTGAAGTTTGAACATACATACTCTATCTTTTCAATATTGTTCCTTAGACCTTTTTCTTCTAAAGCAGTCTTCCAGGTAGCCAGTCTACTATTTAGTTCAGTTCTTATTTCAGCAACTAAGACAATATCGTCAGCGAAAAGCATACACCATGGAACACCGTCTAGTGTCTCACAATAGATGTCATCCATAATCAAGGCGAAGATGTAAAGGCTAAGAGTCGACCCCTGGTGGAGTCTGATTTCCACCGGGAATACCTTGGCGTTGCCAACTGTAGTCCTGACGTAAGTAGTAGATCTACAGTACATATCATAAATCGCCCGGATATAAGCAGTTGGGATCCGTCTCGTTTCCAAGGTCTTCCAGATCGTATCGTGGGGAACGCTATCATATGCCTTCTCAAGGTCAATGAACGCCATGTGTAGATCTCTATTTTTTCCCTATATTTCTCCATAAGCCGTCGAAGTAGATGAATCGCCTCCGTAGTAGACCTGCCTGACATAAAACCAAATTGGTTTTCCGAAACCCTAGTAACATGTCTCAACCTAGCCTCTATCACCCTTTCCCATAGCTTCATGGTATGGCTGAGTAGTTTAATACCTCTGTAGTTGCCACAACATTGGGGATCTCCTTTATTCTTATAGATTGGTATCACCGTAGACTCTATCCACTCCTCTGCCATCTTGGCAGTCTCTAAAATAATATTAAAGATGTTGGTCAACCACTTAATTCCCTCTTCTCCTAGGGCCAACCACACATTGATAGGAATTTGATTTGGATCGACAGCTTTGTCCTTCCCCATCTTTCTAAGAGCCATTTTGACTTCCTCAAACCCAATCCTACTTGTAGGGAAATCATTGGCCGGAGTATGATGGTCGGCTGACCCATCAACAGTACTATCTCTACAGGGAGAGGCACCTTCATTAAATAAGCCAAAGAAGTAACTACCTCAAACCCTCTTAATATTATTATCTTTAACTAAAAGAACACCATTGTTGTCCTTAATAAACCTAATGCTACCTAGATCCTTTTTCCTATTTTCCCTGGATTTAGCAAGCCTGAAGATGTCGTTTTGTCCTTCCTTGGTTTCTAATCTCTTGTACATTTCCTCGTATGTCTTATTCTTTTCTTTAGCCACTGTTTTCTTGACTTCCCACTTTGCCTCGTTGTATTTTAAAAGAGGTGGGACCAAAATAGAGATTGCCATTTAATTTGATGTACTTTTTGTTTATTTATTCCTAACAATCAAGGTAGGAGGATGATAGGATGTTTGATATTTTTTTGCAATGCCCAATAAGATTGGGCTTTTTAGCGTATATTTTTCCTTTAAAAAATTAATTTGAGAGCACTTTCATGTAATTGTTTTCAAAAAAATTGAGAGATTGTTTTTTAATTTTGATTTAAAAAATATAAAAAATGAGTTTATTGAATTAGGAACAGCCCACGGAGCCAGGATGGGCCTAGGATGCCCAACCACTTAGGTTAGAAGTAGGTGTGACCCCACTGGCGTGCTGCAAGTCTATGGATTGTCTATTTAAACAAAAGACAGACTTTTCTTATCCAAATAGGGGTATTAGAATAAAAAATTAGGGATTTACTCATCATCCAATATTATTTAGGGGTCTACGACATTTGCTACAGTTTCGGGTGAACTCGTCATCACGAAATATTGTTTTTAATGGACCCAGATGAGTGAGTCCTATGTGGGCTGATAATTTAATATTTTTACCAGGACTCATCACATCGAGGTGATGAGTCTGTTTAAAAATTATTTTTTATTTGAAAAATAATTTTAAAAGTATAAATAAAAAAGAGGGGTACTCGTCACCTCGAGGTGGCGAGTTCCCTCGAATTCAAAAAACTAGCAGTTGATCAATGGTCATATGGAACTTGTCATCTCGAGGTAACGAGTTCCTTCAGATATTTTTATTATAGATATTTGAATTTAGGTTATAAATAAGAGTTTAGGTTTTGATTTTTTGCCAAACCCTAAATCCAAAAAAATTGAAAAAATTAAGTTTAGTGAAAAACCCAATAAATGGCTTCCCAAACAGAAATGTTGTGCCTCGACAACTTCCATATTTCATTGATCGAACTCAGACCGGAAGAAGAACGGAGTATTCATCAGCGCGGAATGACTATTAGAGATCCGTTTATGCAGATGTTGATATATCTTCAGCAATCTAGTTTTTTTCTGTCATATTTATACGTGGTTTCAAGGTGTACCCGACATTGATTCAGGCTTTGATTGAACGTTGGAGGCCCGAGATGCACACCTTCCATTTCCCAAATGGTGAAGCGATGATTACTTTGGAAGACATCGCTTACCAACTCGGTGTTCCCGTGAATAGAGGCTCCGTGGTGAGGTTGAACAACTACGAGCTCAAGGCGATGGCCAACGAAGTTTTCGGAAAGGTGTCACCATATGAGTGCATTGATAGTTATCGGGTACATATTACGTGGTTGGAGTCTGAATTCCAAGTGACCAACGACTTTACCGAGGATGAGGTTATTTTTGCGTCCCAATCATATATTATCCAATTGATCGGAGGGATATTATTACCGAATAAGTCTGATAATTTGGCGCACACCCAGTATCTTTAAATATTCAATGACTTTGTTGAGTGTCGCAATACCAGTTGGGGATCGACGATTCTAGCCTTTCTATACCAAGAGCTTTGTAAGGCTATAATTCTCGAGCGGGGTTAAAAAGCCAACGTAGCAAGCTATCTAATTTTGCTACAATCGTGGACGTGATATCGGTTCCCATTTTTACGCTGATTACGACAACCCCAGTCGAGTTTCCTATTGCTGTAAGGTAATTTTTTTAACTTTTTTTTAATTTGAATTAAATTTTTTATTCATTTTTAATCTTTTTCTATTTTTAAATATTTTAGATGGTGCCATAAAATAACCAAGATAAAGTTTTCGGGTGCCACCACAAAAGATATACGGATGAGGATAGACATTACCGTGATATGCAGTATTCATTTGTTCTTTTATTATTTTTTCGGATCCATTTTTAAACTTTATATATATTTAATTTGATATTTAATATTTACAGTTTTCTTGGCTTTCATATGTCGATAATGAGATCTACCGATTATTGCCACCATAATTTTTTAAGGAGCTTATTTATGGTGTGTCGCGACGCCCGTATTACATTTTGCAATTGTTGAGTGGTACACCGCTGATAGTGTTCTACTACAGTATGCGTCGCATTAGTTAATTCCTACGCAAATCGTTGAGATGGACACACTCCATAGAATTGATATGCATAGGAAATATACCAAAAATTGGTCGGTGAAGCACGTTGACTACATCGAGCTCTAGAATCAGTGACACCTATCGCTCCCCCACTGTACGACATTACACAACTAGACCTAGATTTCTACCATTCACTCTATCTCCAAAATTACGAAGTTGATGGAAAACCATATCTTACGACACCACAAGATAGAGGAGAATGGAAACAACATCAGGCCAGATTCCCCAAGTCCAAGAAGAAATCATCTGTGTCTTCTTCTCCTGATTCAATATCTACAGCTGAAGAGTACTTTAATGCATCTCAGTAGAGTTTCAGTTTCTATCCTTCATATCATACTTCAACTTAGACTCAGTCGATTTGGATTGGAGATTCATTGGATGCAATGCAACACACTCAAACATCTTCGACAGAATATGCGGTTGAGAATGAATAGGATTGTATCGTATATGGTCAACAACATAGCCGCAAAGTCAATTTAGTAATGACAATGATGACATCAAATATCATAACTCCATCACTGTATTTCGAAGGTGCATCTAAGAGTATGTCAAGTACACCTCCTCACCAAGATGAAGACGACAAAGATCAAGGCCAACAACTTCGCCGTACTCAACGAGCCCCGCTCCATTATCATTTGACTATTCCTCGACATCCTCAAGAACTTAGATATATATATATATGTTATTTTTTTGTAAACAATGTTCTTTTAATAAAAATTATAATTATTTTTAAATTAATTTATTTTTTTAAAATTCAACCCGAGGGAGCTCAACACCTCGAGGTGAAGAGTTCCTTTGTGATCGTTAAAGATATGCCCGCTTAACCAACTGCTACAAATGACTAGTTTTTGAATTCGAGGGAACTCGTCACCTTGAGATAATTAGTACCCCTATCTTTTTTATTTCTATTTTTAAAATTGTTTTTCAAATCTAAAAATAAATTTTAAACGAACTCGTCACCTTGACTTGACGAGTCCCGATAGAAATATTAAATTATTGGCCCACGTGAGACCCACTCATCCGAGTTCATTAAAAAAATATTTTGTCGACACTATATTGAATGTCGTAGATCCCTAAATGATATTGGATGATGGATAAAACCCTAATTTTTTTATTCTAATACCCCTGTTGGGCCAAAAAAGGCCGAAAGACATCTCATTTATATAATCAACGGGGGAGGGGGTACTTTTCTTCTACTCACGATACATCATATCTCTTTTTTTTTTTATTCAAGTCTAGGAAAGTTCTTGGCTACGCTTGGCAGCGGCCACAACAGCATTCATAAATGTTCCCCGGAAGCCGTTCTTCTCTAGCTCGTGAATTCCGACAATCGTAGTGCCACCAGGCGATGTAACATCGTCTTTCAGCAGACCAGGGTGCTTCCCAGATTGAACGGCCATAGAAGCAGCTCCCAAAACCTGCAAAACAAATGAACCTAGTTATCATCTAACATACAATAGAGCCATAGACCAGTTATTGCTAGCATGGGAGCAGCCTCTACTTTTCCCCCATTTTCTCCATGAACCTACAACTACCAAGTACTCTGCAATCGAAGTAAAGCAATTTACAACTACCATGTGACAAAGCATTTCCGTCATCGGGCACACATGATGAAAGATACATGATGCACGAAGTAGAATTGACTTACAGTCTCAGAAGCCAGTCCCAATGCTAGTTCTCGTGGAAGACCTGCAGCCACTCTGCCATCAGCTAAAGCTTCAATCGCTAAATATATGTATGCCGGATCGCTACCGCTGGATATTTTCAGGAAGCATATATCTCGTTAATCTAACTTTGGAAGAGTTTCTCATCAGCTTTCCATATCTTGCCAACTGATCCAAATAATTTACCAACTAATTCCCCATCCTGTTCTGTTGCAGATCCTCCCAAGCTCATAACTGTACATTATGGAAAAGGATTAGATATTTGTATGGTCATGCATTGGTCAGTAAGATATATGATAAAAGATTGCAGAACGAACTCGTGGGACTAGGAAGAATCATATTTTTCAAAACCATGTGATAAAAAAGATAATAATTTGCTCATATTCAGTTAATGGTGAAAGGGTTATACCTGATGCTGCCATACCAGCAGCAGATGGTATGTTAGGCATCACCCTGATAAATTGACCATGGCCAGCCCATTCCTAAAAAAAATAAAATAATTGTTTTATTGAAATAAAGAAGAATATCTGACACCACAATTGCACATGAAGGAAATGAGAGTCTCAAGGAGTACAAAGTGTAAGAATTAAGAGAAAATGATGATGGGAAAAGTTTGCCGATCATATCTTAGCAATTGATTTCTAATACAAAGTAGTCAAGTATGGCCATTTGGTTAAACCTTCCTGATAGAAATAAGGACAAGGAGAAAAAGGAATTTCTATAGTTACCTAGATAGTTCTTTCAATGTCAAGTAAGGAGAAACGACTATTTTGAATCGGTTTTGCTCCGAGAAAAGAAAGATAAGATCAGTTTAAAAGAACTCGCTCGTGCTTCATCTGAAAATATGAATCTCGGACTGAAAATTTGGAACTAGCTTGTATATTATGCTGAAAACATGAATCTTTTAAATCACATTATGGTAAGCTTCTTTGAATAACATGGTAATGGATAATTTATGCTAGCACCATGGCTTTTACGCTCTTGTAAAGGTAAAGAGCTTAAAAGGACGTACCTCCAGATCCTTCAGTTTTATTCCTGCAGCAATTGAAACCAAAAGCTTTTTCTTTGAAAGTAGCGGCCTCAGCTGCAAGACCACATTTTTAGCTGCAAGAAACAAGGAAACGTTTTAGACTAAAAACAGACAGAAGTCCAAAAATGCACCCGAAGATGTTCTGCATGCATACTTTTTTGTTTTCTGATTCTCTTGTACGATCTCTCTCTTTATTCAAGTACAATATCATGACTGAATCAGTAAAATGCAAACTATCAAAACCATAGTGATATGTGTGTAAACGTGCTTGAGAAAAAAGAAAAATAGACGTGGTCATGCTTTACTACATTCGTTAAACTACGATACCATATCAACTCTTTATCTATAATAAGGTAAAATAACAGAGATATTAAATCCTCATTCACTTTTCTCTCCTACTAGACACACCTAAAATATAATAAGGTGAGAAGAAAGAAAATAGAAAACTATTTTCCACTCCAGCTGACAAAAACAAATACTCGTCCTTTTCAACCATACCGAATAATTGATGGAAGCAGAACTTCTCCATATTCCTACCAAACACATTTACAGAAAACATAATATTTTTTTTATAGGAATTGCAGGCCTCGTTAAAAACCTCCTTCATGACTAAAGGAGCTTATAGAGAAGCTCCTTAATCAGCGGAAGGAGGAAAAGAGTGCCTTAAGATTTTATTAACCATAGAAAGAACACGATACAACCAGGGAGCCACCCCCAATATGAACAAAACACCAAAAACAGCCACCAACAATCCTACCAGAACCAGCCTAATCCAACAAAGCAACAACAGCCTAAAAAAGACTGGCCAAACAAAAAACCTAAACGAGGCCCGATAGACACTCAATCAAACAAAACAACCAGAAAAAAGCCAAGGGTGACAGCTGACTAAAACAATAAAAGCCAACTTCTAACTCAAAGGCCACGGAGCTTTCACATGATAAGGAAAAAAAAAACACGCATATAGCCGCCTTTCCACCACATCACCACGTCTTGTTGGCTAAAGACCATCCGAACTTCCAGCTCCAGACAAAAAGCATGGTGTAGATCACCTGAACCTTCTACTCCTTCCCCCGCCATCGTCTTCCGACAATAGATACACTACTGCGCCATTAGACTCACAACCCAAATCTTTCCCAAAAGGCAAGGAATTGAACGTATCCTTCTGTTGAGACTGCCCCAATGCTGGAAAATCAGATTCATAAGTGAATCTGCCATAAAAAACAGACACCTCTTCCTCCCAATGCACCTTACTCTGATGGCTCTTGCTTCGGGAACCCCTATACTTTCTTTTAGGAGCTGTAAAATTCCCTTGAAAAAATTGTTTAGATCTAAATTTGTTGCCAGAACCCACCTTAGGTCTCATGTACTGCCTTGCGATACCCTTTGGATTTACGAAAGCATAGTTGTAAGAACAACCCTCGTGAATCCCTTCCTCCACCTCCCTTATCTCAACCCGACCATCCAACATGGGGAAATCATTAAAATAATCCTTTGAGCCTACAAAAGCACATGCAGACTCACTATTTTTCCTAAAGGCAACTTCATTATACCTCTCCACGTGAACCAACAGATCCACTTTATCCTTTAGGCTCACATATTCCAATTCCTTTGACACTAAGAGACCATCCTGTATGGGAGAATTAATTAAAAAATCCTTACTCTCCACAAAACCACGTGCAGGCAAACAATTGTCCTTAAAGACATCCACTGCTTCTCTCTCCGCATGCACCAGCAATGTCTTGTGTTCCCCCACTCCCTCCATTTGGGAAAGAACCATCCTCTGACCCCCAACGTCGCTCCTCGGACCCATCATCAAAGCCTCTCCTATGTTCCTGTCCTCCACACCCTCACCCGACAGGATGCTGCCTCTAGCACTAGTCCCCAAATAGCAGAAAATTTTTTCTTCATTCTCAGAACACCTCACGGCCGACTGCACCTCCGAAGAGTGAATGGAACTTCCAGCTTCTTCAGAACCCTCTTCCAGCTCAGGAAACTTAACTGGAAAGGCACCAACGAGCTCCCTCACCTTGGATAACGGGGATACGACTGCCTCTTCAAAAGAAGACGACTCTACCCACTTAATAAAAATTCTGCACCATCCTAACAAGCTGTCTTTGAGAGTTGAGAATTTACTGTCGTCAACAGAACCAGCAATGGGAGCCACCATGTGACTAACATCCTTCCTTACATTGTTTCCCTCTACTGAATAAGGACCAGAGAACTTCTTCCTCCAGAAAACATCACGAGGAAGATATCTCGCCATGAATACTCTAATTTTGTTGCCTTGAATCCAAGATCTATCAACACAGTTGATAGCCTTCCTCGCGTCCTCCAGTCTGGTGAAACGAACAAAACCAAACCTACTTCCTCCCTTGCTTCTTTTATTGGGGATGAAAGAATCCACCACCTCGCCATATTTATCGAAAAATAACCAAAGACCTTTGTAATGAAAACTCTCTGGAATGTTGAAAATGATCACAGTGACACAGTTTTTCCCAACCGGAACTCTCACCTTACTCGCCATTAAGAGAAATGATAAGGAATAAAAATAGAAAAACTTATCTAAAACACCTGATTTTTAGAGAGAAGGAGGAGCTTCTCTCACTAATTGTAGTTTTCCTTTTCCTCTGAAACCGGCACAGAAAACATAATATGTTTTCTATCTTTATCAAGATGTTTGAGAAAAAGAGTACCTACTGCAAGAATGGAATTGCCAGCTCTAGAGCTCCAAAAACAAAAAGGGAAGTGCGCAGAGGGATGAAAGAGGAAGCACTCAAGCTAATAGCATTACCTACTTGGGGCTTCACAGAGAAAATGATCACATCACTAGCATCCACAACCTGTTTTCATGTATATTCATGGGTTGGATCAGAAACAAAACAAAAACAAAAAACACTTGCATTATAAAAACTTAAGGGGATATAAATCTGAAAAGATTGAGTAATTCTCCCCCCAATTTGAGTAATTCTCCCCCCAATTCTACATATAAACAAATATCAACAAACACAATAACTTTTAGCTATCTGCATTCTATTGTGCCCTTCATAACACATCCCTCCGAAAGTCTCATTCTAGAACATTCAATCGCTCCAAAATGGAGGTCCAGTGGACACATTCCGGACGAACAGCCGGCAGGTTTGATCATCCCACTGCCAAATAGTCCACGGGCTATTTGGATAGGCTTATGACAATCCTGACATCCATAGTTGTTAGGCGTCAAGCTACACTCACCCAGAGCCATGCATAGATCATGTTAGACTACTCTCTGTCCTGAGAGGGGAACTGGTTATCTCGGTCGGCTCTTCTCCCTTTTGGCAATGCGGCCTTGTAAATGAGTAGCTCACCCTTGAGCTCTTTCATCTTGTTCCTCAAAGTCACTACCAAGCTTTGAGAGCATCACTCCTTTCAACCATCATCTGGCCTAACTCATTGAGAAGAGGTGTATGATATGAGTTATGGCATCCCTCGAACTTGCCGTCTTTTGTTTCCCACTACGGGTCTCCACTCCCTCGTGTGCGGAAACATCATCCTCTTTCTTGTGCAGCACGAATAGAACGTCAACACTCACCAAGCTCGATTGCCTAATGCAGTTTGGCTCATATACCAATTGCAACTCGCTCTTCCCCTTGTTCCTCTTTCTCTCCTCCCACTGCCACTGTCATTAAGAATTGGTGAACCGCCCTCAAACAACGCCAAACGTCCCCTCTCCTAGCTATACACCAACACTTTCCACTTTGTAAAGAATTAAAATATGTGAACGCAAATGGTGAAGAGAAAAACCAGATAAAGCCAAATTAGTCCCCATAAAAACTCACAAAAGTATAAACTAAAGTTTATACATAGTTACCCAATAACCAAAGTAGAAAAGAAACTACTAATTCCTTTGGTACCCGAGAGTAAAACAAATATCTGATTTTCAATCATTCAACAATGAAGCCTTTTTTTCCTTTTTCCAATGACCAAAATGGGAAATAGTAAATGTAAAGAGATTAACCGATGGAAGTAAGAAACATACGTCGTTGTTAAGACCATAAACAAGGATGCCGAGTGATTTGAAGCCAAGACCACGGTCGGGATTGGAGCGAATTGCTGTGGAAATACGCTGGGGAGGCAAAAGACCAGATTGCACCACTACTCTGGCAATGCTCTCAGCCATTTTCCGGCTCCGATGAAGCCAAGCTTGAAGCTTTCGGTGTGTATAGGCACTGCCTCCGTGTCTACGGCGGCAACGCTGCTTGGGTTTTATGTCTTGCTAGTAATTGGAAAAGTAGTCGTACTGGCTTTCCGAAAAAGCAGCGGACAGGGCAAATCTTTGAAATTTGGGGGGTCTAAGCGTCAAACACTTGGCTAAAGTTTTTAGATTTTGTATCGATAATCTAATGGGAGAGTGACGACTGGGGAAAGGTAAAATTGATAAAATACTGACTAGAGTTTGACGGGATTATCTTAGTAAAGGTGGTTAATATACGGTGTTACTAGATATATTATAATATATTTAATAAATTTGATTTAGTGTTATCGGAAATGTTGAGTAATAATAATGTAGTAGGTTTAAATCATGAAGAAATATTAAAAAATTTCGCAACCGGCAAACTTAGCTTGTCGGTTTGTGTCGATACAAATGAAAAATGTATCGCTCCATAGTAATATTATAGGTAAAAATATGACAAAACCGGTCTCAAAATGACAAAACCGGTAAAATGTTGACATATATGTTAAAAGTGTCGATAGTTTAATATAAGTATCGACACTTTCAGAATTTAAAAGAGAAGAAGTTATAACGTCTAAAAAGTGTGGATACTTTATGAAAATGTATCGATTTATAATAATATAACAGCTAAAACTATGACAAAACCGGTCTCAAAATGACAAAACAGGTAAATAACTATCGGATATGTTGAAAGTGTCGATATTTTAATATAAGTATCGACACTTTTGGAATTTAAAAGAGAAGAAGTTATGGCACCTATAAAGTGTCGATACTTTAAAAAAATATATCGATCCATAACAATATAACTGGTAAAAATATGATAAAACAGGTCTAAAAAATGACAATACCGGTAAAAAGATACCGGATATGTTGAAAGTGTCGATAATTTAATATAAGTATCGACACTTTTGGAATTTAAAAAAGAAGAAGTTATAGCGCCTATAAAGTGTCAATACTTTTAAAAAATGTATCGATCCATAACAATATAACAGGTAAAAATATGATAAAACCGGTCTCAAAATGACAAAATCGGTAAAGCGCTACCGGATATGTTGAAAGTGTCGATACTTTAATAAGTACGCGTAATAAATTATCGATACTTTCAAAGAAATAGGTAAATATCCTATCGAAAGTATCAACATTTGACATAAAAGTATCGGCACTTAGGTAGTTGTATCGATTAAATATAAATAACATATCCGGTGTAAATATAAATGCATAGCTAAATTTCCTCTGAAAATAGATAGAGTTTTTGAAATCGAAGCGTAATTGTTGTTGCATTTCAGAAGGCGTTTCTACGGCGAAGTTTTGTTTGTTTGTTGCTGCAATCGAATCGAAAGGTACGTTGTTGAAACTCTGGTTTTTTATTATTACAGTAATCAGAAATAGGATTTTTATGTGTTGTTGTTTGGGGTTTTCGAAGTAAAGAAACATTTGAGACCGATATCGATACTTTTATTTAATATTATATGTAAAAATGATATTATTGGTAAAAAATGATATTATTGATAGAAAATGATATTTTAGGTTGTATAAATGTGCCGACACTTGTTGTAGTGGCGATTCAAATTCTTTTGAAGACCAACCGTTTTACCACAAAGAGTGATTATTGATTTTTGTATATTGAATAAAGTGTATGTAAGCAGTATTTGATTTGATTTGTGCAAACTGATATATGAAGGAAAAATGAAGTCAATGGGTGGAAAGCAACCAAAGGGTAAATATATGTACTTCTAGTAAGTATCAATGTCTTTTTGTTATTATTGTTGAAATGGTAATTGGATTAAAGCATTTAAGAACTTTAAATTGATTACAAATTTTAAATGTTGACAGTATGGCCGAATGCAAAAAGATGAAGGAAGATGGCACACACAGCGGTTCGATATGTAAAATGAAATTGACATTAAGTATTATTTAACGTTAATGTATTGATTAAGAAACGTTTGTGCTTAATATTAGGTGACAGAAGATGTGAGGTCAAAATGGAATTCGATGAGTGATACTGAAAAGGAACCTTAAATCACACAGTCAAGGAATGATAGTAAATAATACAAAGAACGAATGAAAGCACATGAAAAGAAGGTATTCATTAAACTTGTAAATACGTTGATACAAGATATATAAGAACAATAACATTATATATTGTTAAAAAATGTAGGAAGTGTCGACAAGGTGCATCATAAAAAGGGTGAATTCATTAATTGAACACCTTAAAGAGAAGGATCAGTTGAATATGCTAAGGGAAATGGGGTTTGGATCGTTGATAGGAGTAGGGGATCGACCAATTCGGAGGGAATTGTGTCGATCCTTGATGGAGCAATTTGATGGAGCAATTTGATGTCAAACAATGTATTACTAAATATGTTGATTATTCATTCCCTTTGGGGGGTATCAACTGTTGCAGCCGTCTTGGGGGTACAAAACAAAGGCAAAAGTGTTGTAGAAGTCTGTAGGAGTAAGAACTGGAAAGCACTTGCCTCCAAATATGGTTTGAATCAGAAGGTGACATATGGTGAAGTTGAAGAGGATATCAAAAGTGGATCTTACGGGGGGGATGAACTGAAGGCCCGAGTTCTATTGTACCTTGTCGGGATATTTCTTTGTCCAACGGGTGATACTTAAACGAACAAGGATAATATGAAGCTCATTTGCGATGAAGGCTTGAAGGGTGAATTCAATTGGGTTGAATATGTCCATTCGAGATTGATTGAATCAATAATCACCTTTCAAAAGGGCAGCCAGAGATACCTCAAAGGGTGCATAGCAATCTTAGAGGTAACTGAGTTGAAGAATGTTTTTTTTATATAAAATGATAGTATAGTTATTATATAAAATGATAACTTTTATTATAAATGCAGGTTGCACTTTTTGTTTTTTGGTCGGGCTGTGATAGTTTGCCGGCTTATGAAAGAAACAGAGTGGCACGCATCCGTGCATGGGGGAAGGAAGAGGTGGTTAGAGTGATGGCGAAGTTGAAGTTGGATAGACCGAGGAAGCTAGAAATGGTAATAAATGTAATTAAATAATATTAAGAATATAATCAATGTCTTAATACAAATTTAATTTTGAAGGTTATTGTCAATGAGGTAAAGGAGGCAGAGGAAGCAGAAGAGGCAGTGGAGAAGGAAGAAGAGATGGTTGGAGGGGTGGATGACGGTCAGGGGGATTACGGTGAGGGAAAACAGAGTAAATTCGATATTTTGATGTCTGAATTGGCTGATATTAAAAAAAATCCTTTTTGATATTCATCAAAGACAATCAAGAGTCGAAGAGACACTTGAGAGGGATAAGGGGGGAAGTGGAAGGAAAGGTAGATGTAGTGGTGAATGAAGTTGAGGTGTTGAGGAAACTTAATCTGTTGACGGGTGGAAAATTTGATGTAGTTGTCAATGAGGTTGTAGAATTGAGGAGTAAACTTACGGGGGTGAAGGAGGTGGTTGAGAAAAACTTGGATGAAGGGGGGGAAAATGAAGGGTGAAATAAAAGAGATGAAGAGCTATGTAGAGCAAAAATATGATGAACTGAAAAAATTTGAAGAAGAGAAGATGGAGGAAGAATAAAAGATGGAGGAAATTAGGAGAAATGATGTCACTATTATCTATACACCGGAGAGTGTTAGAGATACAGATTTGGATTCGGAATGTCTTGCACCCTAGAAGAAGAAGCAGAAGGTAAGTTGAATAAAAGAAAACTTAATTTGATTTTTATCATGTTGTTGTTACAAAAATTTGTATGCAAAACTGTAGGTTGAAAAAACGGTTATTCCAAGCCGAATTGAACCGATCGAAGCTGCAATTTGTGATTATTTATGGAATATTGGGTTAGAATCGGGGTAAGTTAAATATATTGCTTTGTGACAGATATTTAAATATTTCATGACAATATATTAATTCTAATGATTCATAAAAATATTCTGTAATCTCAATGGGAAATCAATACGCTAGTGTATCCGACGTTGCAACGTTGAAGCCTAGTGAATGGGTTGGCGGTGTGGTAAGTAGAAATCGATTAAAAGTTAAAACCTATTAAATATATTCTGATTGTGTAATTAATTTTGTTAGGTTATTGATTTGCTCACCTGGACAGTATGCTACGATTCTAAAAAATCAGGCCGAATGATTAGCTACATTCCATACCACTTAGCTGTGAGTTAAATTAATAAACGTTGAAAAGTAATGTTATAGACAGTAAATTAATAATTATTGTCACGTAATTGTAGAAACAGGCATTTGACAACATCTGTAATGTTGAGGGTATTGCGAGTTTTTGGGGTGCTATGTTGCATAACTATGTGAAATTCACCAACTGTGATAAGGTAAGACACCATACGAATAGGCATAAATGATGATTTTGGATATATAATGTTGAATTTTATCAAATTGGGTGTGAAATTTGTTGCAGATCATGATCACAATAAACCACAATAATTCGCATTGGTATTTGTTGGTGTTGGATATGATAGACCGTGTTGCAACTGTATATGATAGTCTGTTTACACCTGAAGCTGCTAAACAGAGAGTGAATGATGCTAAGAGATTGGTATGCATGAAAGGAAATTATGTAAATTATAATGCATAATTTGTTTGGACAATAACTTTATATTTTTTAATGCGGATGAAAATATTAGATAATTATAATAAGAAACGTATTTGGGTAGAAGCATGTGGATCTCTAGGAAATTTCCCCTTGCAAAGATTCAAATTCGCGGAGCATAAGATGAACGAGCAATCAAATGGATATGATTGTGGCATTTATGTGATGATGTGGATGGAATCGATTGGTTTTAGAGGGGCTACTGGTGATTTTGTAAGTAGAATTAAAAATTAGTTTCGATTAAATTGTTAAAAGTCGTAGATTGAATGTTGTGGTCTATAATACTTAACGTACTGACAATTTGAATATAGATTGTTGGAGAATGGGATCGTATGCGAATATTAAACGATCTCGTAAGCCACAATCAAAATCAACTAAGAGCGAAGATGATAAAAGATGCCATGCTACACAAGAATAATAAAAGGAAGGGATGATGTAAATGTAGGGTTAATTTTGTATAAGATTTTTAATTTTGTATACGATTTATAATTTTG